TTTAGCTCACTGGCTAGGCCAGGTGCCCCTCCTTTGGGCTTCCACAGCATCCTACGCTTCCTTCTCTATTAGAACTCATCTCATCACATCAACATTTCTCCTTTACTTCCCTCATGATCTCTGCCCAGGCCCACACTGTGAGCTAAAGGCAGGGACCATGATTTATTTTACATTTTTATCCCCACCACCTAAGACATTGTTGGCATTTCAGAAATGTTTGTTGAATGACTGATTTAGAAAATATTCTAAATCCAATGATTTACTCTCTGGAATTTATAAGGTTTGGTTCATGTTCTGAGTCCACAGACATTGGTTGTTTTTCTTCATCCTAAAAAAAGTTGGTTTGGTTTGCAGTAAGTTAGTAAAAGAAAGAAAAAAAATTAAATGGATGAAATTTAAAGTTCAATAGATTAAGAGTTTGTCCTAGTTTCAGTGTTGTGGTTCAGATTACATGTCTTCCTTACAGGGCCCAGACTCCCAGAAGCCACCTGGAATCCCAGCCCCGGGGACACCAAAGCTAAAACATATTAAAAGCACAGGATCCAACAGACCACCACAGCTGGCAAGGAGCCAAACATATGCAAACCCGAGATGGCGTTTTAAAAGGCCATTGAGATTAATTCCCTTGAAGAAGAATGAAAACCAGATGCTTTCCCCTAGGAAAAGAGAGCGCTAAGGACAACAGAAGAGGTAGTGCGCAGGGCGGTCTGGGCTTCACGAACGATGCTTACCCACCGTTAACCCCAACAAACTGAAGGTTCTTTTTGGTCCCATTACCTCCTGCACGGAAGCCATAGTCTTTCTTTTTCATTATGGATTTAAGGCTGGTCGACGGGGAGAGCTCTAGGCAGACACAACATCACAGGTTAGAATGATCTTGGAGACGCCCCAGAATGCAGTAAAACTAAGCCTCTTGCTTTGAGGGGATACAGACCGAAGATGTGTGAAGAGACAGAAACAGACAGGGCACTACATAATGTTGATCCAATATGTTGAGGATCTTTGAGGAGGCCTAGCCTTCTGGTCAGTGCCAGAGCAACTGTCCCTGGTCACAAGGCCCCTCTGTGTGTGGATGACAGTGGGGGCACTCTTTCAGAAGAGCCATGTGGTGTGAGTGCCATCGTTGTCTGCCTGACAGCTGGGAAATCTGAGGCTCAGCCCTGCTCAGTGAGTGGCAGAGAAGGAGGTAGGTAGTTAGTTCTAAGCATAGAACTTAGTCCATGTGACTCCTGGTGCCACCTCTGCTCCCACCTCTGCCAGTTGACACTTTGTGATGTGAGACAGGCAAAGGAGACACAAGAGCAAGAGCACAAGTCTTCTTTGGCTGTGCTCAAAGGTACAGGAGGCGTTTCCTAATGGGCAAGACTAGAACCAGCACGAAATAATGAGAAAGCGGGCAATTTGCAATCTGCGGCAGGAAGCAGACTCGCACGTTGCTCTTTGAGCAAAGCAAAATATGGTTCCACTTTACTCAACGGTGTATGGTCTGTTACAAGAGGAAGTGCTGCTCAGCCAAGGGGTCGACACGAGTATCACTCAGTCTCTCTCTCTCTCTGTCTCACACACGGGCGTGCGCGCACGCACGCGTTCAGTGAAATATCTCAGACCTCAATATACTGTTCCTGCAAAACTAGGCTAGAGAAAACCTCTAATGTGTAAAACCCAGAGAGGATCTCAGGAATGCAAGAGCCCAGGAAACAATGAAGGGAGGCTGAAGTTTAGAGCACACATAGCCAGGGCCCTTGTTCACCCCAGATCTTGCCTTTGGGCAATGCAAATGAGAACTAGGCACCCCTCTGGGTAGACACAGTGCTGCAGGCTTGGCAAGTGAAGAGGTGAAGAGTGGGTTGGATTTAAGCTCCAATGAACCCTCCCTGGCTGGCATCCCTGTGCCCTGTGCTATATCTAAACAGCTATACACGGTGGCCCTGCAGTCAACCCTAACCTTAGAGCAAGGACGTGAGTAGGGGCACAGAGCCGCCACTGTTAAATAGATCAGTTTTTATTACACTAGGTTCCTGGAGTTGCTTAAATCTTTTAAAAACATATGCATGCAATTAAGGCCCCTTCCCCCTTTGACTCGTCCCACAAAGGAGAAATGGTTCCCTGTCTCAGGCACCAGTATTTACCCATTGGCGGCGGGGAGGAGGAGGGGGCTGGGGACTCCTTCTGGGGTGGAGCCTGGGCAGAGTAGGCAGACAGCAGCAGGTTGAGGGAGCTCAGGAGCTGGCGCTGGATGCTGCTGAGCTTGGAGGCGGGCTGCTTGATGGCGCTGGCTAGCTCTGGGTACCCGTGCTCCAGGCAGTTCCACTGTTCCTGCAGGAGCTCCTGGATCTTCTTAACGTATTGCCCAATAGTGGCATCTGTGGGCGAGCTAGGTGGCCTTCCTGGGCCCTCCTTCCCTGGGATCTCTGAACTGGCCTCCTCTTTCCCTGCTGGGGGAACCTTCATGTCACTGCTCCATGAAGAGTCTCCCCCGACCAGCTCCCCGGCTCCCGCCTGAGGGTCTCCCTCCTGCTCAGAGCCTGCTTCCTCGATCCTGAGCTCAGTGGAGAGGCAGCTACTTAAAGAGGTGAGGACCATCTCGGGGTCCGGTGGCAGTGACAGCTGGGATGGTGGCACTAATCCTGTTGGGCTGTGATCCCCCCGTTTGTGACTGTCCTGCCCACACAGGAGGTCATTCTCCACTCCTCTGGCTCCCCAGCTTTCAGATCCCATGCTGCTCAGAAGGTCAACACCAACGCTCTTATCACACGACTCCCTGGGCAAGAGTTCATGGAGAGGGTCAGTGTTGACCATGGCATCAGTTTGGCCCTGAGCGTCTTTGGTATCCTCGTGGCTAAGCTTTTCTGCCAGTTGAGCTACAGTGTACTCCAGCTCCTGAATCCTCTGCCTCTTGGCCTTGATCTCCTCCTCCTGATGCTGGAGCGCAGCTCTGACCTGGGCCAGTTCCTCTGTTTTTCCAGACAATTCTCCCTCAAGGTCCAGGAGCTGCTGCTTCAGGCTGGAGAGGCTGCCAGGATCCACTGCAGCGAGGCCCAGGCTTTCCTCCGTGACCCGGATGCCGATGCTTCTCACGTCTACCTCAACTGGTGGCGGAGGCGGGATCTCACTGATGTTGAGCTCGATTTCTTCTAGGGGGAGCTCATTCTCGGGGATGGGGGATGGCAGAGGTGGAGGGCTTGGTGTTGGGGAGCTGGGTGTGAACACCACTTCTGCTTCTCTGGGTTTAAGTTTGTCTTTTGCATCCTCTAAAACTAGAAGTGCATTCTGGGATGAAAGAGGAGGGCTCGGGAGAGAGAGGTGACGGGGAGCCTCTTGTTCACCCTCTGCAGGCTCAGCCCTCTCCCGGACCAGCTCTGGAATCCCTGGCACCAGATCCCCGAACTCTTTGACTGTGGGTTGGGCTGCTGCTCGTGCGGTGGAGTTGTGAACGCCTGTGAATCCTTCTGCAGGGCCAAAGGTGCTGTCACAGACAGAGCCTTCACCCAGAAGTGGAGGGAGGGCGGGAGGTGCGGGGGCACCTAAGTTTAGGCTGGGGTCCTCTGAGGCCCTGTTTTGCAGCAGTGTGGCTGGCATGCTGGATGCTCTCAAGAGCTGGGGCCGTCCACTCCCGGAGGGGAGCTCGGCCTCCCCGGGAGCAGCGGCCTCCAGCTGTCTGGCCGTCTCCGCCAACAGGGCCTTCCTGTGGTAGCTCACCTCGCTCCCACCAGCGGGGGCTTGGGGGTGATCACCAGGTGGCAGTGACTGGGCTCGCTCCTCTGTCCCCAGTGATACCTTCCTGGACACCATTGGGGACCAGTTTTGGTGGGAGAGAGCAGCATGCAAGCGTGCCCCACTGTCGGGAAGGCTGAAGTTTCGGGGCAAAGTGCTAAACTTGGCCTGCTTGGCCCGTCTGTGGATAGGAATCCTTTTGATGGTGTTTCCCTTCTCGATGTCATCCACATACTTGAGGAAGTCCAGGTCTAAATGAAAGCCATATGGGGTCTCCACAGAGTAGGGGTGGCTCTTTGGACGGTCTTTCTCTTCTTCCCCCTGAGAGGACTGGTCTTTGGCTAGAAGACATAAGACATGAAAAAAAGAAACACAATGTTAATAAAAATTACAGGTGGTGAGGCCTAATATCTGTGATTTTAACTTCTCTTAAATGTTCCAGCCTCTAAATTATGCTGAGATGATCAGTCTTTTGGCTGTGCTAAGAAACCATGTTATTAAATCAATGTGTACTTAGCCCAAGTCTGCAAGGAAATAGGTAGAGGAAATAGTTTCCAATTTGCAGTAGGTCATCTCAGTTACTACTGTGGAGTCTGCCTGCAGGCCAGCAAAATAAAATAGTCTCACACAGTTTTACTGGGTTTGAGTCATGTAATTGCTGAACTAAAGTGGCCAGGAATTTGCCAAATCAAGGTATTAATTGACAATTATGAATATGGAAAGTTTCAAAGGATGGGATGTATAATTGTCTAAACATTAGAAAAGAACCTTGCACTATTCAAACAGGCACTAGTAAATCTTGGTAAAGCCCTAGAGACATCAAGGAGTTACACCTTCTCCATTATTTAGGCTTCCTCAGATTCATGAGCCTCTAGGTGAAGATCAGGGAGAACACGGACACATAATTACGCACAGCAACATCCCCTTTTTCACCTGAAAACTTCTGAGTGCTTAACACACATGAACTTCACTTTTAAAAACTCATGCCAATAAGGAAATACAACATTTTTCATGGACTAGAAAAAGGGTGGTGAGGGAAAAGGGACAATTAATGTCAAAAGGGACACTGGCATACATCCTCTAAGAGATGGGGAACTTATGACTTTTCAGGGCAGCCCAAGCTCTCAGGGGACATCAGAAAGCTCTCCATCACACCAAGCACCCTAATTTTTCTTGACTCCAACAGAAGTCACTAAGAACAAGTCAGTCTTTCAAATATTTGAATCCATAGAGGCTTGTCCACAAGTAGCTCCTTCTTTAGGTGAAATAGTCTTTGTCCTTTTGATGGTCTTCATGTGACACCTTTTGTTATCTCTGTGACGTTCTGCTAAACATGCTCTGAAATGCCGAGTTCAGGACAGAACTTTGGTAGAGAGCACAGAGGCCAAGGACACATACTCTGGAGCCTGGTCTATATTTCAGCTCTGTGACCTTGGGGAAATTACTCAGCTTCCCTGTGTCTCATCATCTATAAGATGGGAATAATAGGCTAATGAGATTTAAAAATTTTTTTCAATTGATTTTAGAGAGAGGAAGGGAGAGAGAGAGAAACACTGATGAGAGAGAAACATTGATCGGCTGCCTCCTGCACATTTTGGGTTGCTTTTCCCTTAAGGGTGATGACATATCAGCGCTGAGCTCTTCCCATTTGCCTGTGATTTCTCCTTCTAGCAGGTGTCACATGCTTGCCAGGTGGCCCTCTGTGCTTAGGGAAGTACAAGTATCGCCAAAGAACTAAACAAAGCCAACAGACACATGAGGGCTAAACCCATGAACACTGACACAATCGAGCCCACCAGCTTCCATGCTATGTAAAGCTGCAGGGCCTGTGGGTGATTACACCACAACCACAGCAAGGGACAGAATAAAGCATTGGTGCAGATACCCAGGATGGTCCTCTCTGAGTTCCAGAGCTTCTCTGGCAGATATCAGGAGTCCAGTCAGATAAGAAGTAAACACTATTCCAGCACCCAAAAATTCTAAATAAATTCACATTTATCAACAAAAATTTTTACCAACCTTCTTTCCCCCAAAGAGGCACACTGGTAATTTCAGTAAATGAGAGCAATTGCTCCCTGTTAGTTTTCCAAGCTGCACTCTGCAATATCCCTAAGCCTACTGGTCCTCTCAGCAGCCTCCTGGATTACAGGGACAGGTTAAATCAGAGAGGAGATATTTGTCTAAAGTTAAGTGGAGAGCAGATTTATGACCCAGGAGGCAAAGAATTCTCTTAAAAAAGAGGCTGAATTATTTATCTTCTTTTTGCCTCATTCAGTAGAAATCCACTAATTTACCCAGCGGCCTCTGGCAGCAGGTCCAGAGCACAAACACAATAATAGTACCAAATTAGAAAGAAGAGATTCAAAGGCAAAAATCTTCCACAAGGAAGATTCTGGGGAACCAAAGGAGTCTGTGAGACTGAGCAGCTATCCAGGATGATGGGTTTAATAGGTGTTTTCCCAAGCTAGCACTCTGGGGTACCACTAGGACACACACACCCCAGACAGATACACACATACACACCCCAGCAGTGATCCACTGTGCTGCTGTGCCTGCCACCTGCCACCCTGTGTTCCTTCTCTTTCTCCCAGCACAAGAGGAATGCTGGACCTTGAATGAGGGAGCTTGATCTGAGATGCTGGGAGGCCTATGCTCACATTAAGCTCTGCTCCTCTTAATCCTACCTGGTGACAGGTATGCAGGAGCTCGGAATTCTGGGTATTTGGCCAGGGTAAGAATTAATTAAGAGGACTGCCTCTGGACAAAATGAACTTCAGATCAAATAAACCAACACATAGCCAAGCTGGATGGACTTGAATCCTGGCTCTGTCATCTCTTAGCTCTGTAATTCTGGGTAAATTACTTAACTTCCCCATGCCTCAGTTTCCCCATTTGTAACATGGTGACACTAATGCCTAAAGTACAGGGTTGTCATGATTGTTAGCACTAATTCAGTAGAGAAAACGGTGCAGGTACTCCACAAAGGGGCCAGAAGGCAAAAGATGGGCAGGGCAGGATTGGCTACAAATGTGCTCTCTCCTTGGAATGTTTAACTCTAGCAGGACTACAGCCTCAAGAGGGAAGGAGAGCCCAAGGAAGTAATTCTGAAGAAACTGGGAAAATGAGTTGGGGAGAAAGAAAATAAGACACGAGGCTCAGAGCTACAGTACCTAGAATGCACACAGAGCCTTGGTCTGAAAGCACATCAGATCACTAGGCCCCTGGAGAGGACCTGCAAACACAGCAGTGAGCCTAGGACCCACACACAGACACGAGAAAGGGCACTGGAAGGGACAAGGAGAGGAGGGAGGTGCACAGCAATTATAAGGGCAAAGAGAAGTTTAGCAGGTGAGCAAACCAATCAGAGGCATTGAAAGTGAGGAAAACAAATCCAAATGCCTATACTCAGCTTCTGAAGGAAATGGGAAAAACAGAAACTAGAGAGAAAGTGACCAAAAATACAGATGGAAAGAAGGGGAGTTAAATGAGCCTCTTCCAAAGGCCAAGACAGCAAGGGCAGGTTTTCCCTCTTCCGCCTGGATTCTGTGAGACGTGGGCGCCCTTCTCGAGCGCGCTGTGGTTAATCACGTGGAGAGCAGCAGTTGGAGGATGCTGAGCAGGGACAAATGAGGCAGCAAAAATGACAGGCCCCTGGGGCACTCGGGGAATTAGCTGGTGTTCTGTGGGGCCACTTCCAGGGATGCACTGAAAGGCAGCTCCCTGGGGAGAAAGGCAGACTCTTGAAATATGTGGTGACTGTGTTTGGAAAGGAGGAAGAAGCAGGGCTGGAGCTGCTGTCTGGTCCCAAAGTCCTGTGCTTGTGAAGGGCCGTGTGATTCAAGGGGGATTAGAGGCTCTCCTGTTTACTGACATTTGGTGATCTGGAAAAAGCATTTCATTAGGAATCAAATCATCAGGATCCAGTCTATGACCCTCAGCAAATGTCCTGGGGAGGGGAGGAGGGAAACATTCACTGAGACATTCATTGTGCTCAATAGTATTACTCCCCAGCTCATCCCGTGCATTATCTCATTTAGCCCTTTACCAACCCTGAGAAGTAGGTACTAACACCTGTTTATGGAGGTGATGATAGACTGTGTGCAAAAATAGCTACAATGATACCCCACCTTTGGGTACTCCCCTTCTACACTCACCCTGGGCTTCGCCTTGTGATTTGCTTTGGCCAACAGCAAATGTGACATATGCAGAGACTTGAAAATCACTAGCACACTGAGATCTGGTCTTGCTCTGCTTGGAAGCATCCTGCCACCATGTGAACAACCCCCGAGCCCCCAACTAGCCTGCTGGACAGAGGGAGACACCTGTCTCATCACCAATGCACCAGGTGATATGGAGTCATGTGAGCCACTGGGTATGTGAGTGTGGCCATTCTAAACCATCTGGCCAAGTCACCCAGAAGACCACAACCACGTGGGCACAGCAAAGGTCAGCCAAGCTGGCCCAGACCAGAAAATGGCCCAGCCAAACCTACAGAATCTTTTTGAGAAATAATAAATATTTTTAAGTCAATACATTTTTAAGTGGTTTGATTACACAGCAAAACTAACTGATACATGAGGAGAATGAGGCTCAGAGAAGTTAAATGACTTGAGAATCTCCAAGGTATGAATTTTACCATATTGTACCTCTTTCTTAGACTTCAAGATCCTCATCTCTAAAATGAGGGCATCCCACTCCCTTCTTGGTGCTTGGAAGAGACGAGAAAACACTCCGAAAATTATACAAGTCGGATATAAACAAAAGGCTTCATTCCCATTCCCTGCCACCTTCTTTTATTCATACCTGAAACACATGGTTTGGGTCTCCCAGTAGCCTGTTTGGGGAATGTCTCCTGTAGGCCTCCCCTAGGCTATTTCCAGGATTTATAGTAACAATCCCTTTCCAACTCAAATGCTCACATTAGACCAAGGAATACTAAGCAGCCTGCCTACCATCTGTCTTCTCCATCTTAGGGAAAGCCGACCGTCAGGCTGTTAGGCACTCTTCATCCGGTGAATCTGTTGGACAGTTCTGAAAGAAAGAAGGTTAGAAAAGTGGAGAGTCTCATTAGAGTTAAAATAAGTGTGGAGGGAGCATAGTACCAAAGAAAGTAACGACCATCCTTGCCTCTCTCCCGGGGGTGCCCATGAGCTCATAGCCTTCCAAGGAGGGAAATTAAAAGCCTGGATGCACTCCTAGAGTCCAATCCTGGGTGTGTTTTCAAGGAACGTTAGCAATGGTTGACATGAAAGGAAGCATTTGGCCTAACTTGCTCACTTGGCAGATGAGGAAACCGAGGCTCAGAAGTTAATTGCTTGATGCAAGGCCTCTCAGAGTATTAGTGAAGGAGCTGGGACAAGACTCAGGGCTCTGATAACCAGTACATTGTTCTTTGCATAAACTGAAATCTATTCAACCCCATCATGGTAAACGAATTATAACTCATTTTGTGAAAAAGCAGGAATCAGAGTCCCTATTAATGATCTATGACATCCCAACCAGATTCTTAGACAAAGATGAGATCATTGCAGGAGCTGATACTTAGAGGTGATTTCCAACCATGGGCTGAACAAGGGGAAGTTCTACCTAGGTGGCCAGAAGACATCAGTCACTATTCAAGCAGCACACTGTCCTGACTCTGAATTAGGGTACCTTGAGGTTTGATCATAAATTTTCCCAAAGTTTTAATCCATTCCCCAGATTCTTTCTTCAAATGGTAAACAACCTGCCTTCTGCCCCTATTACGATAAATCACCCAGAAAATTGTTTTTTGTGCGTATGATTGTAACTCCACACACATCCTAATAATGAATTATCTGTGGCACATCAGCAGTGGAAGCTGGGTTGTTTTAGGAATTTCAATGTGCTCTACAATGAACTTGGACCAGAAAAGTGTACCAGGGATGAGGGAAGGAATGGGGAAAACTGGGAGTGAGACAGGGTGAGGGGTGGCCTCTTGCAACCCAGGATGGAAGAAAGGGGAACAAACAAGTAAACTGGAGTAGAGGGCTGGGAGTTACCAGGCCTGCCATAGAAGAGGAAGTGTGCAGTTTGCCTGACAGAGAGTTTCGTGCACCTTCTTTCTATGAGCACCGCTACTGTCTCTCAAGTCATGGCCCTGCTCCTGCCTTCGTTCCTTTCAAACATGGTCCACCCAGGTGCCAGTAGGAGCTTTCCCTATCTAGGTGGGACAGAGCCCAGAGGGCAGGCGGGGTTTCTATAGGCAGACACACTCCTTGTAGAAGGAACACTGACACTGAGTACCTTGCTTAGCTTAGAGGTAACAAGTACTTGAGTTTGGGGGCAGTGTAGAGCTGGAGTAGAGAAGTTAAGGATAAAGAAGGAGGTTTTCACCTGGGGCTAGGGAGGGTCACACTTGCTAGAAAGAAAAGGTTCTGAAAAAGCCTAAGTGCCCATCGACAGATGAGTGGATAAAGAAAATGTGATATATATATATACATATATATAGATTATATAATGGAATAATGTTCAGCCATAAAAAGAAAATCTTGCGATTTGTGACAACATGGATGAATCTCGAGGGCATTATGCTTATTAAAATAAGTCATGCAGAGGAAGACAAATATTGTATGTGGAATCTAAAAAACAGAACAAAACAAGACAAAAAAACAAACTCATAGATATAGAGAACAGGTTGGTGGTTGCCAGGAGGTAGGGGACAGGTGAAATGGGTGAAGGGGTCAAAAGGTATGAATGTCCAGTTATAAGATAAATAAGTCTGAGGGACATAATGTACAGCATGGTGACTAAAGATAATAATACTGTATTGTATATTTGAAAGTTGCTAAGACGGTAGATCTTAAAGTTCTCATCATGAGAAAAAAATTATAACTATGGGTGGTAATGGATGTTAACTAAACTTATTGAGGTAATGATTTTGCAATGTATACATATATCAAATTGTTATGTTATACATCTAAAACCAATACAATGTGTTCTGAGTCAATTATATCTCAATTTAAAAAATAAATATAATTTTTAAATAAATAAAAGAAGCAGGAGGTCCCCAGACAGAGGACATGGCTGCTGATCCAAATGCTGCAGGTCTGCAGTCTGCGGCCAGTGGTGGAGCCTCGCAGAGGCTGGTGGGCAGGAGAGGCTGGGTAGCCTCAAGGTGAAGCCTGGGGAATAAAAGGGTGGCTCCCCTAAGCTTGACTCCTTGGCCTATCTCTCTGTCATCAGGGCCTCTCCTCTCCCTTCTGCGCCACTCTTCCTCCTACACCATAACATTACTCAGCAACAGGTAGAGCTGGAGCACTTGACATAATCAAATCATCTCATGCAATCTGTAAACTAAGCCAAAGAAGACTACTACTGTCCCCATTTTTCAGATAGGGAGACTGAGACTGAGAGTTTACAGGCCTGTCCAAAGTCACATAACAAACAAGTGTTAGAACAGAAGTTACCCTCAAGTCTAGCTGACTCCAAGCCTGTGTTGGGAACAGGAGTGATTTGCAAACATTTGTCCACCCCGATAAGCCAGCCTGATGCTGTGACTGATTCCTAGCTCTGTGTGTAAGGAGAAATGTTCTGTGCTGCTCTGCTTCTCCCACAAGTGTACACAATGGTGTGACCTGCTTCTCCAAGGCTGGACACCAAGCAATGAGGCTCCACCTGAGCAAGAGAGGGGGGACAACTGGGTGCAGATGGACCTGTGGCAGCACAGACTCACCACCACTTCGGCGAGTTCAATTACACTCACTGCCTTTGGCTAGAATTGTGTTTCAGCCCTTCATATATCAGATCAAAGCGTTTCAAATAATTATGCAGCACACATTAGGTCAAGTTTCAACAAAAAAAACCCTCTATAGAGACCTCTAATAGTTCTCTTAGACTTAAATTTTAGTAAAATTAATCATTCCAAGGCTACAGAAATTAAATGGAGCTGACATCCAACCTCTGAAGAGGGGAGCTCAGCAAGCTTTCACTCTAAAGGGCTCTAAACACGGAAAAGAAAAGAGGGAACTGTCATGCCCACATCATTCCACTTCCAGCCCCCCACCCCACCTCAGGCTTCTCCACTTTGGCCTATGATCCTTATGGCGGACAGCCTGGAATTTAGCTAAGGGGGGCGGTTCTTTGAATGGGTGGATGTTTGATGTGGTTAGGTGAGTGGAATTGAGGAACAGTTGCCACATCAACACATACGGCTTTGTTTGCAATAAAAAAGAATATGAAAATAGCTTTGCTGGACAGATTCCTCTTTGAAATGAAGTTTTGCAACCTTCTGGAACATTTAAAATTTTGACATAAAGTAATTTATTACTTGTTCTATTAAGTTGTATCCCTAGTGTTCAGAACCTTGTAATACCTGGTGTTGTTATATAACTTTTCATTTGTTTATGGGCCCATCCCAGGATCAAGGATGCCCAGTTAGGCCCGACCTCTATCATCAGCTCAGTATTCCAGGTGTTTTAAGAATACAGAGCTTTATCTCCCTCTAGCTCTTCTTCCCTCCTAATCTGTAAGCTGGTGAAGGTCAGAATTCCTGCAGGACTCATTTCTGTACCCCCCTCCCCACCCTACCCCAATTCCTGTATTCTAACAGGCGGCAGACCCTCAGTCCAGGGTATCATTTCCAAGCTACAAATGAGGAAACAAAGGCACAAAGAGGCTATGTGGCCCATGCAGTTACCCAGTTAATTAGGGGCAGGAGAGTTTGTGTGTCTCTATCTCTCCACACTGCCTCTCAAAGCCAACGGGCAGTGAAGCGGTGGGGGACTGAGGTTGCCCATTCAAAAGCCACCAAAGGCAGTCACTGGCAGACAGCAGTGATGGCCCAGAGTGCAACTAGAAAGAGTTCCAGCAAAGTCCATGCCTGTGAGCATGGATTTTCCCAGGTCAGCCCAACTCCTGGGGCATATACTCACCCCCTTTCCCCCTCCACATTTATTTCTTTTATGATGCCATTTCAATGTCATTTCTAATTTCAAATCCAAATTCAAAAGAAGCTTTCCTTTCCTTAGCCCTGAAACTGAAACCTAGTTCTGTACTTTTGTTCTCTTCAAACCTCTCTTCATTCTGCAATAATAAAAATGCTGTGTTTCATCCCAGAACAGGCTTCATGCCAAAACAAATAGCACCTTGGATTTCCTTGAAAAGAAATCTTGGCTCAAAGCACAGTCTTATTGCCATGAGAATGCTTGGAGAAGTCAACCTGACAAAGTCAAATATTTAGCAAGGTAGCGCTCCAAACAGCGACCCTGTCAATCCGTGCACGGTCACTTGCAGAGACAAAGCACTTTTTCCCAAAGAGAAAGAAAGATTACCCACCCCTCCTACCTGTCATACCAAAATGATGAGAGCTTCCCACTTCCCCACTCCAGGGCCTGGGCCTCCGAGGGTAAATGTCCCCTGTGCTGAGAAGCGGGAGGCATCTGACCACGCTGAGCTGCTTACCACCCAGAGGCTGCAGCCCAGGCGCCCGGGGAGGTGGAGTGCACTCCTGAAAAAGATCCTGCCAACTGAGCTCCCCAGCCGGCTCGCTTCCTACCAACGCAGGGAACAAAGAGAGAACTCATGCTCAATAAACGGCACATTAACACAACCTCATTAACTCCCTTCCCGCATTCTTCTGCGAGTGTCTGTCATTTTTGCCTGCATTGCAGCAGCGGAATCTGGAGCTTCATAAAGAAGGGAAAACTGTCACGAGCAAAGCTGGGACCACATTACCTTCCCTTGGCATCCTCCCCCTGCCACAGCCTGGAGCAGGAGGAATGGGCTCCTCCCAGAAAGCGGGGTCCCGGCTGCTGGACCTGGCTGGTTGCTGGTGAGTTCGCACAGTAGCGCTGGCTTCCCAGCTGTTAAAGGGTTTGGTCAGGTGATCTGTGACCTTGCTGGAAAAGCAAATACTGACTTCCTTTTCACTCCCAGGAAGAGGGGAGTGAGGTCAGGAAGGAATTCGAGGCTCAATGAGCTGATTCTGGATCTGGACGAAAGGGAAAAAGCGCAAATCCCTCCATTGGAAAGTTAGTTCCCAGAGCTGCTGTCACTTCGGAGAGGCACACGGAAAGACACGGAAACAGCACACACCTCTTCCCCTGACGCCCCCAGATCTAGCCGCTGGCCTGGGGGTGGTAATTAATTATGCCTTTCCTCCTTCCTCCCTGCAGCTGATGTGGCTCATTAATAAAACTGCTCCTAATGAGGACACGGCTTCCTTAGGAGTTGAAGTCCTTGCATCTCCTTCCCGGCTCTGCTTAGAAACTTCCTCCCCCACAGGCTTCCTGGGGTCCCACAGCCCTGCGAAGCTTCGAGCAATCCCCAAACGGCGCGCTGCCCTGATCGCTCGGTGCCTGGAGATGCGTGGGGCAGAGCAGGAGACAGAAACAACGACCAGTGAGTTGCTCTGGCAGCTCCAGCTTCGGCTGCTCCAGCGCTGAAATGCACCCAATTCTGGCAGGAAAAAAAAACAAACACACCAAAAAACAAGGAAGTACCTACGGATCCAGCTCCAGGCACAATTTCTAGCTGCAACGCTGACCAGGGACTTCAGAGAGGCGGGTGCAGGAGCCAGAGAGAAGCAGCGGCGAAGGAGGAAGGTCTCGGTGTCCCGGGCAGGCGCCCGGGAGGAGTCCCAGCCAGCCCTCTGCGGCCGCAGCTCTCTGGAGCAGAGGCGGGTGAGGGGCACCGGCACCGAGGAGGCAGGATCTCCAAACCCAGCACCACTGCTGGACCTGAGGGAGATACAGGGGGGTGGGTTCAGTTAAGAAGGAGCCAGGAGATGGTCTGGGCTCCAGTAGGCAGGCTCGGGATTATAGAGACCTTGTCCCCTTGACCTTCTGTGGCTCACGCGGACGGAGGCTGTCCCAGGAAATAAAGCCCCGTTAGTAAGACATGTCGAAGCAGCTCTGACCTTCACAGACACTGCCTGTCGAGATGTGCTTTCAAAGGCCAGGGCGGATTCCTGTCTAACCCACGCTGAAATTGACGCCAGAGGCTGCGTGTCACCCTGAAATGCTGCCTGCATCCCGCCCAGTACACCGGGAACGCACTTTACATCCTGGGTCCTGTTGGCCCTCACACCAGCTTAAGGCAGCAGGCAGCCCAGCGGGGATGAGCACCCCACTGTGCAGGCGAAGGAGAAAGGGAGAGGCAGGCAGTCTGAGGGACTCCCCTCACTGAATCTGGATGAAAAAGATGCCTGGTAGGACTCTGTGTGGTTACCACTACACTGGGTCACATTCCTCATTTCCCTTGAAAGATTCTGGAGCATCCTGCTCAAGAGAGAGGTCGAGAGACTTTCCGAAGGGCACGGGGCGATGTGAGGGACAAGGCTATGGAACACCAGCGCTCACTTTTCTCAGCTGCTAAAAGTGTTTTTCTGTGTTAACCGAGTACACAGACCAAACCATCAGAATTTTAAAAGTCATAAGTATACCTTAAACTCAGGTTCTGTGAAAAAAATACACTGAAGAGCAAAGCGTCTCTGATAGACTGAAGATGAACACTGACAACCCCTCCAAATTGGCCCGAGAATGCCCGGGGCCGTATGACATTTCACCAGGAAGCCGAGTGAAAAACAGCTCTCCGTTTCACCAGCCCCCGGGAATTTTCAGCCGCTCGCTCTTCCCGTCTGGTTTACTACGTGACGAAGATAAGCATTCCTTTCCTTTCCCAGAATAAATTCTTCTTTATCCAAGATAAACAGGTGAGAGGCTTACGTCCAGAGCTGCATCCTTCTTGCAAGACCCAACATTCTGCCGGGAACACTGGCCGGCCGGTTCCCCACTAGCCTCTAACCTCTGCTCCGCATCCCCTCCAAGTGCAGTGGCCGCCAGCCTTCCCCTTCCACGGCTCCTGGCTCCCTCTCCTGCAGCAGGCAGCACCCTCGCTGCTGTCCCTGTGTCTGTCTCCCAGACAAGCATCGGGCTAGATGCTCCACAAAGTTTGTAAAACTGAACTTATCCACAATGCCGATGGCTCTACACACAGGTGGCCTTAAGTACCAAGGGGGCACCTCTGCTTTTCCATCAGGCTCCAGACTTAAAAAGACAGAGCGTGAGGGAAATAAATACCAGCCCCCAAGCTGTGCCACTGATCAGCTTGGCTCAGATGCCAGAACAGAAGACTCACAGGGAAAACACACACACACACACACACACACACACGCACAGGATCAAGTTTCCCCAATGTCTCTAGACCTCTCTCTGGAGAGAAGTAGCACTTTCAGTTTTCGGTTCCCGGATCCTGCAGAGATGCTGAGACAGGCACTGTGCTGATGCCCATGTCTTTAAGAGGAGAGATTCTCTGTCGTTTGTGTCTTTCTGACTTGTCCAGTCCATTCACTTAATTCCGTGGTCAAGCAAGGAGGTGACCAGCACAGGGAATGTCATCCTCTATTTTCCAGATGAGGAAACAAAGTTTGCTCCCTAAGTTACGAAGCTAAAACAAGGCAAAGACTCAACTCAAACCCAGAATTTCCGTCTCCCAATCTAACGCCTTCTCCTCGAAACCACGCGGCCTGAACTGGGATGCAGGCGAGTGCAGGAGACACGCAAGGACCAGCATGGAAGCTTCAGTGCAGGTGCTGTCCAAACAGAAGTGAGTTCCCACGGAGGGACAGTCTTCGTGGGAAACCCCAACAACTTTCTCTAGGGTAGTCTGTGCTTCTTGGGGGGATCCCCTCCAAGGCCTCTGGCCCTTGCCATGCCTGGGAGACTGCCACACCCCCGCCCCTGCGCCTCACTCAGACGTATGTCTTAAGACCCGTAGCCAACTTCATGTTACCACCAAGCCACCCAGAGAATCCCCTGGACCAAACACATTTATCCCCGAGAACTTTTCTGGCAGGAATCGTTTGCCTGAGAGCAGGTTTGATTCCTTTTGCCGTTTAAAAGCCTCCACCTTCTGCCCCTTCTGTGCCACGATGGGGAAAGGTGGACTGTCCAAGTCAGGCAAGATGGGCGCTAGGCAAGAGGGAAAAGGAACTATCTTAAGAATGTGCCCTCGATCTAAGCGGTCCTTCGGGCTTTTGCCCTTTGCTCAGGAACAGCTGTTTGTGGTCTCTGCGACCACGCAGGGCTCAGAGGAGCACCTTTGTCAGGTACAGGTGCTGCTGAAATACAGCCTCTCGGAGCCGACCAGTTACTGCCACGGCCGCTGGGACAGAACGCAACTTGCATGAGTGGGAAAGAAATCATGCGTGTGGGACCTTGGGTATAGGAGCCCAGGGAGGGGGGGAGAGCTATTCTAAAACGGACCCTTTAAAGCAGATGATTTCTCAGAGAGGAAGCAGGGCCATTTGCGGGGAGAGAGGAGGCGGCACTCACCCCGTGAAAAATGCTCCTTGGACAAAAATAAAGGAATCAGGGCCACAGGGACAGAGATCTCCACTCCTCATCCCTCCCTTCATTTAAATGTTAAAGCCTTCCAGAAGGATCTTAGTCCTTGGCTCAAACACACTAAAATTGAGATGCCAACAGACAAATGAGGAAGGGGAGTGAGCAGGCAATTCAGAAAAGAAGAAATACCAATGGTTAATATCTGAGAGGTGTTTAACCCCATGAATTAATAATAAAAAAGATGCTACATAAACATCAACATGCACATTCTTTATTTACCCTACACTGCCAGGCACTCTAGGTCCATTCCAAACACCATCCAATTGAATTCCCACAATAATCCTGTGAAGCAGTTTTATTATTTTCATTATCCAAGGACAAAGCTGAGGCCTAAGCAGTTGCCCAGGTACTGAGACCATTGGCGCTAAGATTCAAATCCAGTTCATGCGCTGCTCTTAACCATGGTACAACACAGACTCTTTTACAAGTTAAAAAAACATTCTTTTATTAAAGAAAGATCTCCAGTGTTGTGATGAGAACAGGACACACCCTCCGCAGAAGACTGCAGCAGAGTTGGGGGACATCACTTGCCGGGATGTCCTGTGCACTGCCTGTGTGCTCAATGCCACTGGCTTAGTTTGTGCAGGTGCGTAAGTGACTTCAAAATCAAATACAACAAAATAAAATGGGGAAATAAGATGAAAAAGGTCACAGTGCTTATGTTTTCTTGGCCTAAAAAATCATCACTATTATGATTGATGTATTCTTAGAAAATAAAAAATAAATTATCTGGGAGGAAAAGGTGAGAAATCACTATAATCCTACCACCTTGATGCTACCTATTTTGCATATTTTAACATAATTGATGAAAGCAAGTTCTATGGCGGTGAAGAGTCTGGGCTCCACGTCAAGGAATCCCAGCTCTGCCACTGACTGTGTAACCTTGGACAAATTACTTAACCTCTCTGTGCCTCGGCTGCTTCATTTGTAATCTAGGAACAGTAATGCACCCTGCACATCATGGAGATGTCAGGAGGATTAAATAAGGTGACAATACACGTCCGTCACTTAGAACAGAGGGTCTGTGTTAATCAATAATAAATATATTAGCTATCAAGATAATAATGTACAGTACATTCAACTATGAATTCAATTTTCTATTTAAAACTCTATCACACAACCATTTAAAAATAGTTATGCTTGCTTTATACTGATTACTGTAAATGGCTAAGAAAGATTCTACTGACTGAGTACTTATTTTGCAAACCCACTATCTCCTGGAGGTCATTCCATCTCATTTTAACTCTCCCTTCAGCACTACCAGATCAGCCAGCCTCACAGGCGGACCTCAGAGCAGGTCTCCAGGGAAGTCCCAATTCTAGGTGGCTGAACTCAGCTGCCACAAGTGCTGCTGAATGGTTAAGAGCACTGGCTTTGAGGGAAGACAGACCAGGTTCAAATCCCGGCCATGTGACCTTGAGCAAATTCCCTTATTCAAGAAGAACCCAGCTCAGTGCATGGTTGTGAGGACCCCATGAGACAAGGTATGTAAAATGCTTGTGTCAATGCTTAGTATGTAATAAATACCCAATAAATCTTGCCTATGATTAATTTTTAAAACTCACAATGTTTTAAGTAAGGAAAGGGCTAGGAACATGTTTATTTATCACCCTATTCCTAACAGTTGGCATAGAACTCAACAAAACGGTATTGAATCGATGAATAAATAAAAGAATGAATGGATGTATCATAGACTATCGAAGCAGGAGAGGATATTTTAAAAAACACATTTATTTATATATAATCTACATTCTATATAATTTACACATATAAATTGTACAATTCAATAGTTGTATATTTAGAGTTGTGCACACATTTCTACAACCTGATTTTTTAAATTGTGGTAAAATATACATAACATAAAAGTTATCATTTTAAACATTTGTAAATGTAAAATTCAGTGGCATTAAACATATTCACAGTCATCACCATATATATATCCCAAACTTTTTCATCACTGCCAACATAAATTCTGTACCCATTAAGCAATAACTCTTCATTCCCTTTAGCCTCCAGTCCTGGTAATATCTATTCTACTTTCTGTCTATAAATTTGCATACTCTAGGTACCTCATATAAGTGGGATCATACAATATTTGTCCTTTTGTGTCTGGCTTATTTCACATAGCATGTTTTCAAGGCCCATTCGAGTTGTAGCATATATAAGTTTTCATTTCTTTCTATGGTTGAATAATATTCCATTATACGTATGTAGCACATTTTATTTATCCATTCATCTATCAATTGACACTTGGGTTTCTTCCATTTTTTTGGCTATTGTGAATATTGCTTCTATGAACATTGGTGTACAAAAACTTATTCAAGT